TGTCCCCATCAGCTGGGGCTGGACAGAGGCGACCTCACCGTCCAGGTCCGAGTTGGGTTTTCTGCTCCTGGGCAGGTCAGAACTCAAGATGGGAAGATGTCTGTTCAGAATTGTCGCCTGTCCTCCATTCTAAGAGGACTCTTCTTCTGTATAGTAACACTCCTCAGATCCAGATGCATCCGAAAGTCCATGGGAGCCTTTGACCAGATCTTTCCGTTTATTGCCACACAAGTGACAGGCTATTTTCAGCAGCCCCTCATCTGGACCCCACCTTTCCAGCATTTCTCCCCCACCCCCCACCCCGCCATTCTCTTTTTCTTTTCAGAGGTCTCCTGGGAAGGGTATTTTATCTTGAATTTACCTTCAATCTGAGCCTCTCCCCAAGACAGTACACAGAGTCTGAGTGGCTCATCGGAAAGAGCCTAGGGCAGGGAGTCTTTGAAGGGATCTGGGAAGGAAGACAGGATTTCATGGAGGTGCCTGTGTTTGAAGACTGCAGGCTGTTGGAGGCAGGCCATCTCCGCCTCTCTGTCGGGCTGTGGTACCAAGACTCATATTGGTATGAGTTTTAAAACTCCACCTGGGGGGAAAACTGGACACTCTAGTCCTCCAAAGATGTCAGCTTTTAACCTTGCCTAGTGATCCTGCTTGAGTAGACCCTGGTCCATGCCGTGGTTTAAAGATGCAATTAAACTTTCTCAGCTTCCTTTATCTGTAAGATACTTTCAAGTGCTGAGCCTGTGGGATTCATGTAGCAAAGTGAGAGGAAATAGCATGTAGGTGGAAAGCAGTGGAGAGAGCGTGTGGGGCGGGTGTGGACACCCGCTGACAAAGCCGGGGAGCCCTGGGCGGACACAGGAGGGGCCGCGGGGCCTTTTAACGGGGTCACACCCAGGCGCTCGGGGCTGGGCTCACCTAGGATTCTGCGAGCCCTCCAGGGCCTGCTCATCCCCTTCTCTAGGCTCTGTCCGAGACAGCTGACCCCTTCCCTGCCACCTGCCGCCTGTCCCATGCCGACACAAGGACAAGGCAGGGGCAAGCAGTAAGTTCTCCATCCCTGCCTCCGAGTTGTTTAAAACTTCAGCTGCATTTGGTACCAGGAAAACCTCCCAAAATAAACTAGATGAAAGGCCGGTCATTTACAACTGTAAAGGGAAGGCACAGAGCACAGTTTCTATTTGGAGGACCTGTGTACATGGCCTCCTGTGCGGAGTTTGCTGCTACTAGGTGCTTTCGGGAAAGCGGTGCCGAGCCCTCCCATGATATGACCCCGCTTTTGCTCTGATCTTTCCTTGTTCGAGCCTGCATAGGTGGATATGCGTGTGGGTATGAGTTGCATTTTGCAGTGTACAGCTTCAGAGCAACTAACAAAAAAGTGCTTTCTGGGGAAAGTGGCCCCAGGCCTGGAAATTAAAACCGTGTGCCCAGGGATGGGGAGCAGGCATGTGGCTGTGTGCCCTGCCTCACCTCTCTGCCCCATGAGTGCAGCTGACACTGGCCCTTGAGTCTTCTGATTGTTTAGTCCGGCAATGGACGATTGTGATGGTTTAGAAAAAAAGAACCTGAAGTAGACTTCAGACTGTTCAGTGATGTGGGAGTTTGGGTTTCACTTAGCTCTGCCTTTCAGAAGTCTTCCTATGATGATGCTAAAGCCCTGTTTAGTTCTGCTGGTGTCTAGTTGGGTGGCCTTAGCAGTTGGCATAGACAGGTCCTTGGGTCTTCTGGTGGACCACACCAGCCTGCATTCTGCTGTGAAGTTAAGGGGTGAGCTCCCCGTGCCTTCGACGGTACGTGTATTTCTCCTAGAAGACCACCTGAGCTTCCCCGTACGGTACTAGATTATAATGTACAAGCGATGGAAGCTGATTCCTACCTTATCAACAGGTCCTTTGTAACCAAAGCGCACCACCCCCCAAAAGAGGAATCCCACCTCTGAGGGATCCAGAGCCCAGAATCCCATGGAGGCGGCAGGTACAGGGCAAAGGTGGTAAGTAAGCTGGGGCTTGCTCCCAGGGAAAGCGCAGGCTTTCGGCCGAGAAGCCTCAGTTTCCTCCAGCAGGCAGCACCTGAGAGCTTCTCTTCGGTTCTGTGGTCCCGGGTTGTGGCAGGGTCTGTGGGATTCGGGCCTTCAGGCCCAGCACAGGCTGTCAGCACGTTCTGCTCGTAGATTCCTGGAGGAAACATGCTCTGTTGACCAAGGGAGGCTGCTTCTCTGTCTTATCAGGACCAGGGAAGTGGGGGGAAGTTTTCACTTCAAGCTGAGGGGGCGGCAGTCCCCGGAGTCCCAAAGCCCAAAAGTCCCAGGGATTGTGCTGATGGCTCGCGTCCAACCTGTCCACGGAGCTCTCCAAGTGCCGAACTCGGGAGGCGACGTCTGTTGGGGCAGGAACCCTTCCCACGGGTCCCAGCTCCTGCACTGAAACTCCGAGACCACGTCTCGGGTCTGCGAGCTGGGCAAGGTGTGTGATGTTCGTGGCCACGGGGAAGAAGCGTGTGACACAGCCTCTGCTGACCGATGGAGGCTCCTGAGAGGGGCTGCTGCTGTGTGCGGAGGGGCTTTGGTTCGGCCTCCTCCGAGCCCCCTCCCCCCGGGAGCATCAATCCTCCACAGCATCACCCCGTAGAGCCCTGGGCCCAGATGCAAGACCCAGAGGAAGCCAGGAGCGCTGCACTCTGCCCTGTCACAGTGTCTAACCCCGGAAATTAATTTAATCACATGAGGTATTTTTTTATTCATCAGAAATAAAGCTTTAAAGGAATGAACCTGTGTGAGGGTGTCATGGCGGTGGGGGGACGGTGGAAAGGGGGAGAGAGAACTGATCACGCGAGGTGAGTTCCGTGCTGACCGCCGTGGGCAGCAGCCGTGTAGGAGAGGAGGGTGTGTGCGTGGGACAGGCAGGAGGCAGAGCCACCGAGGGCCTCAGATTCCCTGCAGCCCTGCCCACAGCAGTGGAAATTCAAAGACATCAGGTGAATGGGAAGATGGGATTATTTTCCTCGGAAAGAGTGAGGCTCCCTGGGCAAGGAGCTCCGGTGGCTGCGTGGCCGTCTTGAAGTGCACGTGTGGTGCGCCTTTTGCTTTTGACCGAGGAGGCCGAAAGCGTGGCCTCTGGGGATTCCGGCCCTCCTTCCTGTGCAAGGGGGAGGAGGCTTGGCCGGAAGTCCTGGGCTGGGGGCGGAAACAGGTGAGGGGTCTCTGATCTGCAGGAGGGGGAATGTCAGGGTCACTGTAGCAACCAAGAGTGCCCCGGTGTGTCTACCAGCTAAGAAGAGGGTTGTTTTTTAACTCTTCAAAGACTGACGTGGGACCTACACGATAATGAGGTTTTTTGACTTAACAAGGACAACTGAAACAGGGCCCTAACGCGGGCCGCAGCCTGAGGTGTAGACGTCTGTTTGCCGTCTCCTGGTGTCAGCTTGGCAGTGCAGGACACACTGCTCAACCCTCAGTGGCCACAGAGGGGCAAACCGAGACCAAGCAAGGTGGGCAGTGGGATGTGTGGGTTTTTTGTTCGTTTGGTTTTTTGGGTACTGGAAATTGAACTCAGGACCTCGCGCTTGCCAGGCAGGCAGTTATGCCGCTGAACTATATACCCCAGTCCTGAGGTGCGGTATTAGATGCTGGCCATAGGGATGCAGGCAAATCCAGTTCAATCTGCCAACAAAGACCTTATCCTTTTTGTTTGTCTTTTTTTGAGGGTCTCGCTGTGCAGTTCATGCTGGCCTTGAGTTCACTTTGTAGCCCAGGCTGGCCTCGAACACGCAATGATCCTCCTGCCTCAGCCTCCCAAGTGCTGGGATTACAGGCGTGCACCACCATGCCCGGCCCAAGAACCTTATCTTGGGAACGCCCCCGACAGCTGCTGAGCACAGGAGGCTGGGACCCGGCGTACCACACAGAAGTCCAGGGCCAGGGAGAGCAAACACCTAAGCCAGGGCTGGGGGACACGAGAGCAGGGCCTTGAAGGTGGGGAGGCTCCTGAGACGAGAGCGTGTGCCCCACTCCCGGGGCCCAGGATGAGGGCCGGGAGCAGATGTTCCATCTCTAGGTAGCTAGTGCTGAACACTTTATTGCCCCCGTTTAATCCTCACAGCTCCATACAGCAGCTTCAGAGTTACTCCTCAGCCCCAATTTGTAGGTAAGGCTGAAGCCCAGAGAGCTCAGGGAGCTTGCCTAACGCCACACAGCTGGTAGAAGCTCCCAGTTACAGACCTGCCTTGTTTAACAACCAAGTCCTGTTGCTGCGACTACATATAATCAAATTGGTCGCTAAATGAGGAACTGCATATAGTGTGTACATTATAACACTCAGGACAAAGACACGGTCAAAGGAAACTCCAGCTTGATGACTTTGCTTTTATTTGCGTAACTCTTCCACACAGTACTATAAAATATAACAACATAAAACCACAGTACGGTTTTTGCAGCACAACCAGCAAAAATTACAGTACTGTACTGTACTGTGGAAGAAGCCACCGTGAGGTCACACTGCCACTCACGTTCCCGTGTCATAAGTCTGAGTGCCGGTCATGAGTCCTAGCGGGGCGCCTCAGTCGTACGGCGTTAAACAAGGACTATCCGGGGCTGGGGATTTAGCTCAGCGGCAAAGCGCCTGCCTGGCAAGCGCAAGGTCGTGAGTTCGGTTCC